ACCTGCACTCCCTGGGGCTGGTCCTCCTCCCTGGCCATTGGGCAGGACAGATTCACTTTTGACCTCCAAAACTTGTAAATCTCATTTTTCTTATGACATTGTACTTAATTGGTCTGCTTCTATCAGAAAAATTATAAGAAAACTTTTAAAACAAATCCTGGAATGGTGTGAATCTATGGAACCCTTTATGATGCTTGGGAAAAGATACACAAAGTCAGAGCATAAGGTGAGTATAAATTCTAGTTTTCCACTTTTGCACATGTGCACACACCTTGCCATTCATCATACTGAGTGAGTAAACACATATATCACTTTCTGTATCCCTCAGGGAAAAGTACCAAAATGAACATCCAGTTACTATTATGCCAAAGCACAAATTTACAGTAAAAAAGTAAAAGATGAGTTCATGAGACCCATTTTTATGCTCAACAGCACATTCAGGTAATCCACTGATGAGGCTAGCAGCCCCATGACCTAATAACCTTCCAAAGATCAATCTCTGAACATATGAGCTTTGAGGGGGACACTTTAGACCATTACTTTGTAAGTTTTATTACATAAACCCAGAACCATTTTCATCTTATTCTTCAAGGGAAAAAGCATAAGCTGAAGAGAATCACTTTCTCAGAAGTCAAGGATGAGATTCTTCTCTAAATTCTTTTTTTCTTTTCTTTTTTAATTTTAGAGAAGAGTTTACAGGATGTTCAGGGTCTCACTACTAGATCAGACTTGTAGTGATCCACCTATTTACAACCTCCCAAGAGCTGGGAGTACAGGTGTGCACAAGCACACCCAGTCTCACTTGTCAGCTCAGCATGCCCTGGGGGCAGGGCTGGCATGGCAGGCATGGGGCTTGAACTCTTGGTCCCTGCACCTGCTTGCAGGTGCTTTAATCTGCTGAGCTATTTAGCCAGGCCTCTGCTCTAAATTTTTTTATCAATTTTATTGAGAAACAAATAGCAATGAGACGGTTTCAAAAGAGGTTAGTAGGACAGTTACAATAATTAATACATTGCATATTGTTGTCTTCATAGTAGCTATTCATAGTATTATATGCAGACATGATATCCTGTTCAAACACTACTAGTACAAATCTTTCTTCTTATTGAATTAAGAGAATGTAGCTGTATATCTATCCTAACAATTTTATATATGAGGATTACATATTATATATATTATATATTATATTTTATACATATTATATTATATATATATCACTACAAAATGGTCCTTCATTTATATTCCCCTTTTTGTGTGTTCCATGTTATGTCTAAGATGTTTGATATTCATACAGAAAGTGAGGTTGATCTCAAGTGCCTATGTTATAGGGAATAATATCATTAGGCTTCTCTTCTGGAGGGTTAACAACTTAAGTTTCAAGACCAAAAATTAGAGAAAAAGAAGGGCGACAAGGACAGCCAACATTTTGGCCTTAGCCATTCAAGGTCAGTGAGGACTCAGGACATAAGAGAACCCATACTGTAACAGTCTGCAACTCAGTGGTGTCCCAATTTTTCTGATCTGCTCTAAATTATTAACTGCCATGTTTTTGCTGGACATCAAAACCACTTACACAGCATTCTGTCTGGATCCCAACTCTGTAAGAGGAAGACTTCCTCTGGACTCCAAGTGCCATTACAAGTCAGGGTGTGGTGACCTTTTGCAGGAATTTGAGTAACAACCTAAAGGATCCCTGTAAAGCTGGGCAATACCAGCTGGGCATTGTCCACTCCTCAGGTGTTTGAGCTCTGAACAACCCAATTTTCCATAGCCATAAACCTCCAGCTTTGCTTCCCCTAGCCTAGGAATAGCAGTTTCTTACTATAATTTTTCCCCTCTGTGAACCTAAGAAGTTTTGCTTTGCCCCTACACTTCTCCAATGCATGGTTAACAATTTTTTACATTGAAGAGCCTGTGGAAACAATCAATGGGGTTTAACTGCTGACTGGATTCTGACTGAGACACATTTGCGGGGGCTGTAGAGGATGGGGATTTCCCAGGGATTGAACTCAGGACCTTATACTTGTCAATTAAGTGCTATACCACTGAGCTATATCCCTAACCCCAAGATACATTTCAAAATAATGACTCAATTCTTTATTTCTCTTCCTGTCTTCATCCTCCAAAACTGATATAGTTTTAGTATTGCAAAATTTAAAGGACTTAAATGAATTACAGTTGGCACTACAAATCTGATGTGTGAATCAGGTTTTAAAAATGACTTTGGAGGGCCAGCCAGATAGCTCAGTGGACCAAATCACCTGCTTAAGCAGAGCACAGGGGCCAGAGTTCCATCCCCTGTCTGTGGTGTCAGCCCCACCCCCAGGTCACACTGAGATGGTGATTGAGACTGAGTATGGTGGCACACTGTAATCCCAGCGCTTGGGAGGCTGAAAAGAGGAGAGTCTGATTTACATAGTAAGACCCTGTAGACCCTGTACCAAATACATTAAAAAACTTAAAAATGACTTTGGTGCTGGGTGTGGTGGCATACACCCCTAATCTCAGCACTTGGGAGGCTGACAGGAGGATTGCTATGTGTATGAAGCCAGACTGGGCTATATGTCTCAAAAATAATAAATAAATAAAATAATTAATACATTG